GTTAGACCACTGATCACTTCTTGATAGCACTTATAACAATGTTTGATTTGCGTGCTCAACAGTCATATTCAGTCAGTTCATCTTCAGTGTAGTGTTACCATGTTCAAAGATTGCAAAGTATCCATGCAATCTTTGGCTCTTCTGGTAGAAGGATCCCCTGTGGTTTCAAAAAGTGTACATCATTGATCAGGAGAAGTTCCCTCAGAACTACAAAACACTATTTAAAGTGCAAAAAGGGAAGCATGGTGGCACAGCAGTTTGCATTGCTGCCTTGCAGTGCTGGGTCCCTAGGGTCAGTTCCTGACCTGGTGTGCTCTCTGTGTTCGACTGGGTTTCCTCCCCACTATCCAAAGACATTCTGGTATGTTAATTGACCTCTGGGAAAACTGGCCCTGGTATGAGTGTGTGCCTTTCTGCGTCAGCCCTGTGATGAACTGGTGTCCTGTCCAGGGTGTAGACTGCCTTGCCCTGATAGTAGTCGCCGGCTCCCCAGTACCCTGAATTAAATGAAGCATTTCGAAAATGGACAGATGGATGGAGTGCAAACATTAGGTTTAAGTTCACTAGTTTGTATTAAATTCCACATTCATCCTAAACTGCTTACCAAAGAGTGGGTTTACAAAAATACGAGCTTGTCAAACTGAAATAAACTAAAGCACGGTACTAAAGAATACGCAGTTATTCTTTCCTACTCTAAAACGTAAACTAAAACTGTGAAAATGGTGTAATATAATGGCCTGCGAAAATCACAAAATTACACAACCAATCCTATTGTGTTTTCCTGGTATGAAAAGAAAACAGTATGCAATTGCAATTTCTCACCATTCCCAAAAAAACCCTTAGGCTTTCAAGAACACAAAACAACAAGAGTCAGTAAAACACATACAATAGTCGATGTGAGCAAAGCTCTGAGATTCCATTTTTCTGATGTCAAGGCTAGTGTGCTACTTTAATCTCTTCCACTAAAAAGGGCATATATGTTTATTTTTCATTGATATGGGAGGCAGTTTTATATAGTGATACATTTACACCTTATATAAAAACTGGCCTTCAAATTCAAAGCCTCTGAAACCCAGAAGCCCAGATTTACCTCTTAAGCTTATGAATTTACTGAACTTCAAAAGCTTTTATAAATATTTTAAGTGCGCAGTAGGTGGAAACAGGATAGAGGCTCTCGTCTCCACTATGTTCCCTTCCCCAGGGAGGGATAAAAAGGACCCGCTGTCCTCAGTCACCTGCCCAATTGGTGTAAAAAAATTGGTCAGTGGTCAGGTGAGAATGAAAAAAACAGGAAGTGGAGGCTTCCAATTTGGTGTACACCAGATGCCGGTGAAAGACTAACTTGCTCAGCAGTCATCAGAAGAAAAAAAATTAAATGCCTGGCCAATTGAGGAACCCCCCAGTCGTGGAGCTACAAGACTTTTTTAGAACATTTTGATTTACTTTGGATGAGATTTTGTTTTTTTGAAGATGGTAAGCTGCTTGGCAGGCTGTTTATAGAGAGGGAGACCGAGAAGAAGAGAAAATAGAGTTCGGGAAGAGAAAGTGCCATGTTTTTTTTTTAAAATCCCAACCCGCCCACTGTAAACAAAAAACAAGTGTTTATCAAGATCCTGTTAAAGATCTGTTTTGGCACCCCGCTCCCATGTGTATCACAACACAATTTGTGATTCATACAATTTTCTACTGAGCATCAAACAAAACAAATTCACACACCTATAAGGAAAATTGGTATCTTTTCTAGATAGAGGAGCAAACACCATTTTATTAAACAGACATGACTTAGGTAGCCGATTAATATTTGTCATCAATTGGGCTGACCAACAGGGGGTCTATTATGAAAGTTACAGGCTTTCGGTGTATTGTATTGCGATAATTACAGGCGTGTATGGCCAGAATCTGAAGCAATACAAACTGTACATAGGAGAGATGTTCTGCCCTTGACTGCCGATGTCTTGCAGAATTCCACCTCACTTCTCTCCGAGTCTGGACAAGCCTATTCAAAGATCTCCGAGCCCTAGATGCCACACTTCATTCCTGCTGATCCTACAAATGTTCAACAGTCCTCAAAGTAGGGCATCAACAACATAACTGATGTATTCTCATCGGCACTGTTACACAAACAGCATGAAGACATGGATTATCCTGCAGGTCTGTTATCATAACAAGATCAACCCATGGGAATGTTAGCGAGTGAGGTCCCGAGACTTCATCAACACAGTGGTCATGCAATCGGGTAGCCATTAATCACCACAAATGGAATTCTGTAGCAGACTCACACTTCTGGCCAGAGGTCACATTTGGACAGATCCAACGATCTAAGCAAGGTATCATGACCGATGGTCTGTTACTGACAGATTGCATTTGGCTGTAAGGTCCTGATACTCAGAATGGCAACTGACATTTTGTTTATTTTCCAAAAGTAAATCCACATACTTATTACTCTATTTGACAAAAAGCGCAACATGCATAAAGTAATATGTTTTTATGGTACGCAGTAAGTATAACTTAAAATTACTCACAACAGCATTACAATCTAAAAATGATAAAAATTCAAGCTATGTAATTTAAACAGGAATGCACAGGTACACAAAGAATGGCCTCATTGCTCATATGGATATCTGGTGACTTGTCAACACCTCTAAAAATTCACCTGGCTACTAAATTAATTGTTTTTACCTTTCAGCCTATTTAGGAAGTCTTTTTGTTTACAAACTGTATTATCATTTTTGGATTTCTTAATTCATCACTTGAAATTAAAGGCTTTACAACACTGACTAACTTTAAGGTTTCATTTCTGTTTATGAGTTAAATTACCAACAAATAAACAAAACTTTTTGAGGAATAAGAAAATAATTTCTGATTAACTAATCCACTCCTTTATTCTGAACAAGTGTGTATTACAAAAACTCT